TATTGTGGAGGCAATAATTTGCAAAAAGGCAAAGCAGTTGCATGCGGATCTCAGAAAGAAAATGCCTGGAACGAGTGCTGCTGTTAGTGAATTTAAGGCCAGCAGAGGCTAGTTCGACAAATTCAAGAAGTGATCTGGTATACACAATGTGTTAAGGCATGGCGAGGCTGCAAGTTCGGACAGACGTGCAGCCAAAGAATTCATTGGTGAATTCAAGAAGTACGTAGAGGCTGAAGGATTCCTCCCCCAACAAATCTTCAGTTGTGATGAAACAGGCCTCTTTTGGAAGAGGACCTACATCACACAGGAGGAAAAGGCACTGCCAGGACACAAGCCTATGAAGGATAGGCTAACTCTTTTGTTCTGTGGTAATGCTAGTGGGGTTTTCAAAGTGAAGCCTTTACTGCTATATCACTCTGAAAATCCCCTAGTGTTCAAGAAAACAATGTCATCAAGAGTAACTTGTGTGTGATGTGGAAGGCTAACAATAAGGCATGGGTCATGAGGCAGATTTTCATTGAGTGGGTTAATGAAGTGTTTGTACAAGAATGGTATACAGTACATGTACTGACAAGAATAAATTAAGACACGTGCAACATCTCCTTCGTACCTACCTACTATTCTTTCTTTCTCTTTTTCTTTCTTTCTCTTTCTTTTTCTTTTTCTTTCTTTTTCTTTCTCTTTTTCTTTCTCTTTTTCTTTCTTCCTATTTCCTTCTTTCATTTTCTCTCTCTCTCTTTTGCTTCTTTCTCTTTCTTTCTTTCTTCTGGTGTCCTGGGTATTGCTTTCGATCACAAACTCCTCAAAACCAGGAAATTCATCTACACTGACACTTCCCTCTGTGTTAGAGTGATCACTTGGGAAGACAAGAGTCCCAGATTCGCCGAGAGTCACATATTTCTTACCGCTAGGCATGCTGAACAAGGACTACTGAAATGGCATTCCCACAATGCACCACTGGCTCCCTGATTTTTTTTTATACTGTACACACTGACCATAGAGACCCATTCTCTCACATGTGAGCCTACCAGCTTTCTCTTGCTTGATTTGAAGCCTCTAGAATTTTGGCGTATCAATATGTCAAACATATTGGCCCGTAAGACGTATACATGAGACCGAAACAGTCAAAGGGTTAAAGAGACGCCAGATTTTTTATGTGACAGAGGTCCAGTGCCAGTAAAAGACAAAGAAGGGAAGTACCCCGGATAGGGACTTGATACCTGAAGTCCTTACGAAGGAGGATTCCCCTTCCAACCAATAACCTCTCCTCCTCCCTCTCCCCTCCTCGCATCTTCCATACTCCAACAAGAGTCTTCAATAGAGGTAAAAGTGATATTAAATGTTCATTTATCCATTTCATTAGTCCTTTATATTTATTTTTCATTGTTTTCTGTATGTAAAACTATAGTTATTCTCTCTAAAATGCATTTTTTTGCTAATACTTTTGGGTGTATGGAACGGATTAATTGGATTTACATTTTTTCTTATGGGAAATATTGCTTCAGTTTTTGTCGAATTCAGTTTTCGTCAGACTTTCTGGAACGAATTAATGATGAAAACTGAGGTTCCACTGTAGTTAGTGGTTTATCTTTTTTTTTTTTTTTTTTGCAAATTATCTTCAGTTTTTTGGAGTCATCTAGTTTATCCCTGGTTTTCAAACTTAATCCATTCCAGAAGGTCGTTCTAAAACCGAAACGTGCAAAAACTGAAAGAATATTTCCCATAAGAAATAATGCAAGTACAATTAATCTGTTCCAGACACCCAAAAATATTTACAAAAAAATATTTTTTTTAAAGATTAACTACAGTGTTCCAGCTCTTCAGTGGTTAGCTCTTCCCTGTGGTCATCCACCAACTCTTCCACATTCATTATCTACCTTAAAATATTTGTAGTCTTAATGTAGGGCAAGAGGTGAGTAATACTTATTTGTAAGAAGTCACTGCGTCTGACTTTTTTTGGGTTATCCTAAGTTCTCTACACATATGCTGCTATGTATGATAATCTATGTAACTGTATTTGTGTATACTCAAATAAACTTATTAAGTAGCCGGTAGATGTAGGTAGCCAGTAGAGGTAGGTAGCTGGTAGAGGTAGGTAGCCAGTAGGTAGCCTGGGCTACATACATACACTTACCTACATAGCTACACGATATTTAATGCTGCCCAGAGCCATATTATTACCATCAACATACCTTGTTCACCGAGTTTAATAATTTCTAACACTACCTTTAGATGCCATCATAAACAAAGGGAGAAGTAATGAATAATTCATGCTGAGAATTGTAAACAAAAGCCAGATGCAGATTCACACAGTTTTCTCTAATGCTTGACCAGAGAAAAAGAGAAAACGACTACCACCCTTCGATAGCATATAAACATTGCATGTTTATACTATGCTATGTAACGTGTTTCTTATATAATTTTGAAGAAAATATCATAGATGGATTAATGAAAATGTCTATATTAACTTTAAACAAGACATTTAACCCTTTCAGGGTCCGTCCCGTAGATCTACGGCTTTACGTTCAGGGTCCAAACCGTAGATCTATGTCATGAGCTCAGCTCACTCTGATAAACTGTGAGTGGTACATTTGGGCCTAGATATGAGAGAATACATCTATCTGGTATGTGTGCACCACATAAAACAGATCCTGCAGCACACTGTGTATAATGAGAGAAAAAACTGAAATCATGATTTTTCGATTAAAACAGTGACTTTGCAGTGTTTTTTCGTATGTTTTTTATAGTTGTATTTGCGATTTCTTGGTCTCATTTGATAGAATGGAAGACATATTACAGAAATAGAGATGATTTTGATTGGTTTTAGCACTGGAAATGGCTTGAAACTGAGCTCAAAGTAGCAGAAATGTTAAATTTTTGACGATATTCAAGAGTAAACAAACGACCTCACACGTCTAATACACGCCAGCTGGTGGGTCTAATATGCATTCACAAATGTGGTGATGATATTTATACAATTATTACAGTATTGCATAACAGTAAAGCTTCTATTTTTTGGTGTGAATAAAAATTCATTATGTGAATAAAAAATCAAAATAGAATTTATTTGTAAAGCCTCAAAACATAACTAATGAACAGAAGAAATGTTAGTTTAGTTCCAGGAATACCTACATTGTTTATTCTGGACCCTATTTTGAAATTGGAATATTTTGAACTTTGTGTTAAATTGGCCAAATTAACAATTTCCGATCACTTTAATTTGTAGTTGAAACAGTTGACTTGGCGATTTCTTGGGCTCAATCGATAGAATAGAAGTAATACTAGTGAAATAGCTAAGAATTTGGTTGACTGGAATAATGTAATTGGCCTAAAATGGGAGTCAAAGTCGGCAAAATCGCCAATTCGTAAATATTGCTGACACATCAAAATTCGCGAGAGCATAATTTCGTCAATTTTCCATCAAATTTCATACTTTTTGTTTTATTACCTTCACAAAAAAGATTCTCTACCATTTCATAAGAAAAAATAAAAATTTTTTTTTTTGAAAATTCTTGGACACTGGGGCACCACTTCAGATTTGGGCCTTGGACCCTGAAGGGGTTAATGTGCCCAAGAGTGAGTCACGAACATATGAGTGCCCCAGGCGGACGCGTCTGATATGTATGATTTCCGGATCAAGGTTCAATATCTGGAGTAAAATTTTGCACAAAAAAATGGTTCTAAAACCAAATTGTCCAATAACTGGGGCATGCGAAAACTGGGTTTCCACTGTAGTACTTTCATTTAACCCTTTGACTGTCGCAGGCCCCTTTCTGAAACTGTCATTCTATGTCGATAAATTTTTGAAAAAAAAAAATTATTTTTTCTTATGAAATGATAGAGAATCTTTTCCCGATGGTAATGACACCAAAAGTTCAAAATTTGGTCGAAAACTCGGGGAATTACGCTCCCGCAAAGTTAGCGGTCTCGGCAACATATGCGTATCGGCGATTTTGCAGACGTTGAGCCCTGTTTTCAGCCAGTTCCCTTGTACCAGTTGACCAAATTCATAGCTATTTCTTTAGAACTCCATTTTATCTATCAGCTGAGTGCAAGAAACCGCCCATTTACCAATTTGAACTATCCAATATAGTGGTCAGAAATTGGCAATTTGGAGAATTTCACGCAAATTAAAAAAGATGCCAATTTCAAAATAGGGTTCAGAATAAACAAGGTAGACATTCTTGGCACTAAAATAACATATCCTCTGTTCATTAGTCACATCTCTAGGCCCCTCTTATATTATTATTGCTTTCTATTTTGATTTTTTATTCATACGAAAAAATACCAAATTTACTGTTATGCAGACAACTGCATTATTGCAAAATGGTATAAATAATATCAGTGCACTAGTGAAAGAATATTAGACTTCCCAGTTGACGTGTATTGGACGTGTGGTGTGATTTGTTTACTCCTGAACATTGGTAAAAATCGAACATTTCCGCTACTTTGAGCTCAGTTTCAAGGTCGTTTTCATCGTCAAAGTAATGAAAATCATCTCTATTTCTGTAATATGTTTTCCATTTTATCACCTAAGACCATGAAAATGCGAATACAACGATAAATACTATACGAAAATACACCTCAAAGTCGGCGCTTTAATCCAAAAAAACGATCAGTTTTTTTTTTCTCATTATGCACTGTGTGCTGCAGGATTTTTTTTATGTGGTGCACACTGACCACACAGATACTTTCTCTTACATGTGGGCCTACCAGCTTTCTCCCGCTTGATTTGAAGCCGCTAGAATTATTGAGTATATATACGTCAGAAACAGTGGCTCGTAAGACGTATTTATACGGCGTAAACAGTCAAAGGTTTAATAATATATGTTAAACTTTATCATTGTATGTTGAATGTATCACTTCATTCAACATAAGTTGATGATGGAAAGATTAACTAATATTGTACTGTACTATAAGTACAGGCTCTTCATTAAATTTAGTGTTTAATCTTAAATGTGAATCTCATCATATTCCTCTCTTTGTATGTTCTGTCTAAGGGAAGCTCAACAAGAGGGTGTTGTGGGGTTTGACTGTGAGTGGGTGCAGGTGCGCTGTCGCCGCCGTCCTGTGGCACTCCTCCAGCTGGCCTCCTGCTCTGGCTTGTGCGTCCTAGTGCGGCTGTCCCACATGAAATCAAGCCTTCCTCTTAGTCTCAAAGTAAGCATCTGTCTGTCACAATATCAATTTCTTGGACTAGTTTTGGCTTTCAGTGATTCTTTTTATTTTGTTTTTAATGATAATTTTTAGCAAGTCAGTCATATTAAACTCCAGTCTACATTTCTTAAAAATATTTTGCATTCCTACTTTTTTCACAAACTTTTTTTTATGGCAATATTGAAACCTTAAATTGGACAAGTGAAATGCACTCAGTGGAACCTCGGTTTTCATATGTCCTAGTTTGTGTGTAAAACTAGAGTTATTTTCAATAAAATGTACTTTTTGTTAATATTTTTGGGTGTCTGGAACAGATTAATTGGATTTACATTATTTCTTATGGGAAATATTGCTTCAGTTTTCATGTGATTTGATTTATCGTCACACTTTTTCGAACGTATTAATCACGAAAACCGAGGTTCCATTGTTTGATGGCATCTTTTTGTTGTGCGGATAGTGCATAGTTGTTTCTGTAGTTGTCTTGTTTAAGTCATTTTTCCATTGCCTTAGGTTATTTTAAGTATTTGTATATCCTGCTGTTAGTGGTGTTGTTTAGCCATAATGTATGTAATAAAATGAGGTGTTGAAAAACTTCAGAATTTGAAGAGTTCATATCAGTACGTGATATTCAATTTGAGGAGTCCTTTTTGAAGAAAACTTGAATTTGAAGGCAGGTAGAACAATAATAGAATATGTTCTAAAGAGAGGCATTGTGCAGCAGAAGAAAATAAATGCCACCACAGCCAAAATCTGGGTTGGTGAATGAATTGATTCTTTATTGCTTTGTCTGTTTGTGGGAATGTGTAGATATCTTCTGCATCTGTAAGTTAGGTATGGCAACTTAATTTCATAGCTCAAATCACTTTCATGCCTTTTTCTTTTTTCATTGAGTTTGTTGCTTATTCTTTTCTGCTGCACAATACCTCAAACTCCTCTACTATCCATGGCAATAATCTTCCTTACCAGTCATAATCCTTCTACCAATAATTACTTGTTAAATCCTACCTTACATTAAAAATTTTCTGTGAGCTTCATCATAAACTTTGCTGTACTCCCTCTTTCACTGCTCATATTGATGTTGTAAGTTTTCTTATAAGGCCCCTCATAAACTTAGCAGAATGCATTATCAATTTTTTAGACCTGTACTTTTTTTTTTTTACAGTTTCTGTGAATTGGCAGCTCATAGGTTGAAATTTAAAATACACTCATTTCTCTTTGCATATATGTACCTGTATATAGGTACATCTTTGTGTACACACTATCCATTGGTATGTAAATGCTTTTGATTTTTTGTATTAATTTTCAGGAATTTTTAGAAGATAAGGCAATACTGAAAGTTGGGGTAGGACCTCTTGAGGATAGCAACTACCTGACAGCTGATTATGGTTTAAAGGTAACACCAATTAAACTCATTCATTACATGCCACTTTCTAGTCTATATAATTTTTCATGCCATAGCAATGATGTACCCATAGTGGTGAGAATTTCCAGTTGCACAAATACAACTAAAATAAAAATACACAGCTTCAGGTACAAATCAAATACAGTGGAACCTCAAAAATCGAACTGCTCCCAACACAACCAATTAGGTAAGTGTATTTTTGTAAGGGCTTTTATAAGTGTATTTTTAAGGGTCTGAAATGGACTAATCTAATTTACATTATTCCTGATGGGAATAAATTCATTCTGTAAAGGCACTCGAACAGACTTCTGGACCGAAGAAAGTTCGATATTTGAGGTTCCACTGTACAGTGTAAATAAATTTGGTTACAAATACAGCCTCTCCTCACTTAACAACTGAGTTCCATTCCTAAGACCTTGTTGGTAAATGAGTTCATTGCTAAATGAGGAGCATACTATAATGGTAGTGAGTTTGTGTCAGCCATCTTTGATATTGCTTTAATGTCACCTTTGCACCATTTATAACATTTTTTAGTATATTTTTAACCCTTTCACTGTCAGTGCTGTAATATTACGGCTTGCAAGCCAGTGTTGGTGCTGTAATGTGTCAAAATTCTAGCAGCTTCCAATCTTGCGGGAGAAAGCTGGTATGCCTACATACCAAAACAAAAGCATTCACATTGCTAAACTCACAAACTAGTATTTAGTCACTTAGCCATAATACCAACTTACCTCATAATTTGTAATATTTTAAAATAAAGAATTAAACTAAGTCTGCCCGAAATGCCTAGCCATGCTAGGCGTTCTAGTGGTACACTCTGTAATCATTATTTAACTACATGTAAACCACACAACAACCAAATTCTGTAAGTTCAACATTGTAATCTTTATAGAGAATAAACTTTGAATTTGAATTTGAATGTGTCTGAGTGGTCAGTGTGAGCAGTATAAAACAATCCTGCAGCACACAGTGCATAATGAGAAAAAAACTCCGTGTTTTTTCTTTAAAACACCAACTTTGTGGTGTATTTTCGCATGGAATTTATGGTTGTATTCTCATTTTCTTCATCTCATTTGATAGAATGGAAGATATATTACAGACATAGACATGATTTTGAATGGTTTTCGGAATAAAAGTACCTTGAAATTGAGCTCAAAGTAGCTGAAATGTTTTATTTTTGCTGATGTTCAAGAGTAAACAAATCACACCACACGTCGAATAACATCAACTGGTGGGTCTAATATGCTTTCACAAATGCACTAATATTATTTATACCATTTTTACAATAATGCAGTAGTCTGCATAACAGTAAATCTTCTATTTTTTATGTGAATAAAAATTCGAAATGGAAAGCAAGCGTAATATAAGAGGGGCCTGGAGACGTGACTAATGAACAGAGAAAATGTTATTTTAGTGTTAGGAATGTCTGCATTGTTTATTTTGGCCCCTATTTTGAAATTGGCCTTACTTGAATTGTGTATGAAATTGGCCAAATTACCAATTTTTTATCACTTTATTGGGTAGTTGAAATCAGTAAATGGGTGGTTTCTTGTACTCACTCAATAGAATAAATGGAGTTCTAGCAAAATAGCTATGAATTTGGTTGACTGGAATAATGGAATTGGCCAAAAATAGGGCTCAAAGTGGGCAAAATTGGCAATGCTTAACCCTTTGACTGTTTCCGACGTATAAATACGTCTTACGAGCCAATGTTTCTGACGTATTTATACGCACAAATTCTAGCGGCTTCAAATCGAGCGCCAAAGGCCTGGTAGGCCTACACGGGAGAGAATGGGTCTCAGTGGTCGGTGTGCACCCTGTGAAAAAAATCTGGGACCTAGCGGTGCATTGTGGGAACGCCATGTTGTCAGTCCATTTTCACCATGCCTCTCGGTAAGAAGTTCCTCACTCCTCGGCGGATTGGAGGTCTTTTGTTCCCAAGTGATAGCTCTAAAGCAATGAAAGAAAATGACCAGTGACATGGAATTCAAGGGTTTTCAAGTGAGTGTTACCGAAAAAAGTGCCCAGGATAACTTTAAATAGTGACGAAAACCCAGATGACCCCAACCTTCGACCTCTGGTGCTGTGCGGCTTGTTCACGTTCACGTTCGCCTGTTCCAGGACGAAAGAGGAAACTATTTGGCCGTGTACAACACCCTGATGATAGCAGTGATAGTGATAGTGATTTCAAGGTCATTGAAAGCAGTTTTTAGTGCAGTGAGAGTGAATATTCCTCGTGAAGCGCCAGTATGTACGACGTAGCATGCGGTTGGGTAGTGTTTCATATGTTGTTCCAAGGGGAAGGAGAAACTCTGGGAGCACATCCCGGGGGCCCACACCATGACCTGATAGTGAGAGACGATATTGTAAACGATGGGTAATGAATTGGTGACAGTGAGGGAGGAGGCCCAGTGGTGGTGATAGTGGGGGTTTGGCACGGCCCATGTGGCACCATCACCGGGGCCACGCTACTAGCCACGTGGCTGACTCAGCAGAACAACCAGCCTCACCCTACCCCACACTGCCACAACCTGCACCACCACAACCTGCACAGCCAACCACGGTACAATATCCAGACCCCACCAGCAAAACCGCATCTGGGATTGCAGGACGGTGACGAGTTTGTTCCCAGTCCCCATGACTTTGATGAAACACAAAGGGGAAATTTAAAGCCATCTTGTCCACTTGGGAAAAATGCCAGTGAACTGGACTGCTTTGAGTTATTTTTCGATGAACCCCTGATGGACATCTTTGGGTCAGGGAACAATACATACTGTGATTACACCATGGCAAATACAATTCTCTCACCAAAATCACGGCTACACAAGTGGAAGGAGACAACTGGGGCAGAGATGTACCTGTTTTTTGCCACAATAATGCTTATGCCACATGTGTATAAGCAACTGTCACCACATACGGGACAACAGACGCCTGATTTCAACTCCAGGTTTTAGTGACATTATAGGTGTCAATCGTTTCCTGATACTGTTGCGTATGTTACACTTTTCAGACAAAACCAGGCCTGACAGAAGCGACAGGTTATATAAGATAAGAAATGTGTTTATGTACCTTTAAACAAAAGTGCTGCATGTATTTTATCCCTTCAGGAAGCTTGTTATTGATGAGTCCTTTATTTTATTCAAAGGAAGACCTCATTCAAGCAATATATACCAAGCAAGAGGAAATGCTTTGGTATAAAGCTATTGTACTGTGTGATTGCAGAAGTGGTCTTGTTTTAGATATTATTGTGTACACTGGGCAGTAATACTTTGAGAGATACCGTGAAGTTATTGGGTATCTCTGGTGATGTGGTTCGAACAATGATGGAACCATATCTTTGGGAAGGGGCATATGTTATTTACTGATAACTGGTACGCAAGCCCCTTACTCAGTGATTTCTTGCGAGTGAACTTGACAGACGTTTTGTGGCACAGTGCGTGGTAATCGCAAACATATGCCAAGGTTCGACGCTGGCACTCGCAGAGGTGAGGTGCAAGCCTTTGCTGCCCAAAGACTCAAGGCATTTCGGTGGGATGACAAACGTGATGTCACATTGTTTACATCATTCACACAAACGAAATGGTACCCAGTGGCAGGGACAACAGAGAGACCAATGAACCCATTCTAAAGCCTGCAGCTGTCATGGACTACAACCTCAATATGCGCTTAGTGGACAAATGTACATGCAGATTGTTTGCAGACTGGTACGCAAGAGTTATAAGTTGGGATATCAAACTTTTTTTCCATCTTGTTGATACTCTATGCTAAATGATTATAACATATACAAGTTGAAGACAACAAAACACCCAAAAAATGGTGAATTTTGCCCGTCAGTTTAAACAGACAAATAATTGCAAAGTTTCAAAGGAGCAACTCCTGCAATAGACCAGCCCCACAGACGTCATCTCGTATGAGGCCTGGTGATCACTACCCCATACAACTGCCTCCCCTACTGCCAAGAAAAATGCTCAGAAGAGGTGTTATTTATGTATGCATACCACAAAACGCCCACAAACACGCAGAGACACTCGTTTTTTATGTGTGAGGAGTGTGAAGTGCCCTCTGCATATACCCATGTTTCAAAGAGTTCCACAAGCTGCAGGCATTCTAGGAACATGTTTAGTGACTGTACATATGTATATATATTATGGAACAATAGTAATAAACATTGTTTTGTATTGTTTGTTTGTGTAAACAAAGTGTATACACAAAACTAATAGTGATAAAAGTTTGTTCTGTTATTGTGTTGTAAACAATGAGTGTATATTTGAACAATGCAACCCTTTCATTGGTTCTCACAGGCCACATAAGTTACCTGGAAAAGAAAAATATTGAAAAATGCAAGAAACCTTTGAATTAGAGTAAATAAAAGAATACCGGGTGGGCGGCAGTCGCCGCTGTTGCCGTACGCACGTCAATTTCTGCAAACTTTGCGGCTCTATATCTCGGTAAGTACTGATGGCAAAAAATTTTTTTTAGGCTTAAAACACTAGTAAAAATATTCCTAACATTTTCATAAGAAAAAATAATTTTTTTTTTTCGAATATTTGGCGACATAGAATGACAGTTTCAGAGAGGGCCCTGAAACAGTCAAAGGGTTAAATACCGCAGAGACTGCAAACTTCACGAGAGCATAATTCCATGAGTTTTCCATCAAATTTCATACTTTTGGTGTCATTACCATTGGGAAAAGATTCTCTATCATTTCATAAGAAAATTATTTTTTTTTTTTTGAAATTGACACTGAGAGCAAGTTTGTGAGCAGGGGTCTCGACAATGAATGGGTTAAATGTTTATTCATTAGTGTACTGTATATTGTAATATACCTAATAGAGGAAATCAGCTCTAATATACATTATTTAGGTAAACGTACTGGTCAGAGATCCTTTCGTAAATCCAAGTCATCGGTAAATGAGTACATCGCTAAGTGAGGAGAGGCTGCATAAAGATAATATTTTATGATATTTTTCAAATGCTCTGAAAATTGTTGT